ACACCACTACCACCACCCACACCACCACCCACCCCCACATCACTACCACCACCCACACCACTACCACCACCCACACCACATCACCCACACCCACACCACTACCACCACCCACACCCATCACCCACACTCATACCACTACCACCACCCACACCACTACCACCACCCACACCACCACCCACCCCCACATCACCCACACCCACACCACTACCACCACCCACACCACTACCACCCACACCACCACCACCCACACCACCACCCACCCCCATATCACCCACACCGCTCACACCCACACCACCCACACCCACACCCACCCCACCCCGGCTCAGGACTGGCCACAGTCACAGGCCGGCGCTCGGTGGTCTGGCTTCACCATATCCGAGCACAGTTAGAGACCAAGTGGGACGGACCAGGTCTGTCCCTTACGATAAAGCCTGTTAACCCGGGAGAGTCCTCCCCAAGCACCCATCACCTTACCAGTCACAGCAGTGTCTCAGGGGTCCCACACCAGGGGTTCCAGCGGTTTCTCCCCAAGACTCCCCTTTGGTGCCTCTGCCCTCATCCGGCCTCCCCCAAGGAGCAGAATCGGGCTCCTCTGCTCCGCTTTCACTCTGAGCCCCCCAGGCCTGGGGTTCCTGATCCGTCTGCAAAGTCCATTCCTCTGAGTGCTGCTGCCCCATCGGTGTGGAGGACGTGCCAGCCTCGGGGACCTGCAGTTCCATCCCTGTGCACGCGCCCACTTGCCAAAAGTGACCTGTAACCCCAACCAGCACTCTGGCCCCTCAGGACAAACGCAGAGCCAAGGAAAGTTTGCGTCCCCGAGCGCGCTCCTGGCCGCGTGAGGTCACCCCCGCGGCTCCAGTCAGTCACCGGGAGGGTGACCCTCAGTGTGGTCTGCGCACCCCGGCTGATGGTGTCTGGTTTTAGGGCCTTAATTGAAAGGAGGGCAGTGGTTGGGGACGGAAGGACACGCAAACATGACTATTTTCTATCTATATAAAAGGCTAATATGCTAAGTGTCCACCCATCCGACCGGGTGCTATGATGCACACTGACCACCAGGGGGCAGACGCTCAATGCAGGAGCTGCCGAGCTGCAGTGACTTGGCAGCAGCGGGTTCTCGGATGATGCACCCCGAAACCAGAGAGGAGGGAGCCCGATTCCTCGTGGGGCGCATCAGCTGTGGGTTATGTTGTTGCTGGGGCACTGTCAGCCCTGAATCTGGTTACTGCACACTTGTGTTTGTGTTCCACACCCTGTACGACAGCAACTTTGCAGAGTGCCCTCTCACACTCAGGGACCCCTCAGGGGAAGTTGGAGAGCCGGTTTCGGCCCAATCCCCACAGGCCAGGCCGAGGGACCCCACCTGCCGGAGGGACCCCGCTCACTCCGCAGGCGCCGGGGAGGGACCGAGGGAGGTTGGCTCCAGGGCGTGTCCGGCCCCTCTCGCCCAGTCCCGCCCCATCAGCCACCTCCTAATTAACTTCCTTTCAATGTGCACGAATCCATGCACCGGGTCACCAGTCTTAAATAAGAAAACTGGGAATTCTCACGTGGTTCCCTGAGCAGAGTTGTAATGCACTTGGTTTATGTTCGCCGGGGCAGGGATAGAGAATGACGAAGAAATCAAACAGCTGGACGAAGAAATCAAGGAGCTGAACGAGTCCAACTCACAGATGGAGGCCGACATGATCAAGCTCAGGACTCAGGTCAGTCTCGCCCCTTCCTGCCACCTGCGCTCCAGCCCCTTCCTGCCCCCTGAGCTCCAGCCCCTTCCTGCCCCCTATGCTCCAGCCCCTTCCTGCCCCCTGTGCTCCAGTCCCTTCCTGCCCCCTGTGCTCCAGCCCCTTCCTGCCCCCTGAGCTCCAGCCCCTTCCTGCCCCCTGGGCTTCAGCCCCTTCCTGCCCCCTGCGCTCCAGCCCCTTCCTGCCCCCTGGGCTCCAGCCCCTTCCTGCCCCCTGGGCTTCAGCCCCTTCCTGCCCCCTGCGCTCCAGCCCCTTCCTGCCCCCTGGGCTTCAGCCCCTTCCTGCCCCCTGCGCTCCAGCCCCTTCCTGCCCCCTGGGCTTCAGCCCCTTCCTGCCCCCTGCGCTCCAGCCCCTTCCTGCCCCCTGGGCTCCAGCCCCTTCCTGCCACCTGGGCTCCAGCCCCTTCCTGTCACCTCAGGGACACAGCCAGGGACCAGCACTGGGAGGTGCCCTTTGGCTTTGCTCATTTTCCCTGTGTTTCCCCCACATCGGTCTCTGCAGTTAAGGGGGGGCGTTGCTGGAGCCAGTGGCCATCGGTCACCTGGTTGCTGGTGTTTGTGTGGGATGAGCAGGAAGGCCAACCCCTTAAAATGACAGATTCTTAACCTTTGAAGCCTTTTTATTTAAGCAAAGAGGTCCTCTCTTTGCATCGGTAGACGTGCCCCTCCCTGCGGGGTGGAGCCCAGCTCCCTGTGTCCACACTTTGTGCCTCTCAGATCACCACCATGGAGAGCAGCCTGAAGACCATCGAGGAGGAGAACAAAGTGATCGAGCAGCAGAACGAGTCTCTGCTGCACGAGCTGGCGAACCTGAGCCAGTCGCTAATCCACAGTCTGGCCAACATCCAGCTGCCGCACATGGTAAGTGACCGAGTCTTCTCCCTGCGCTGCCCACCTGGCCAGCCCCTGACCCACAGTCTGGCTGACACCCAGCTGCCGCTGTGGTGAGTGACTGAGTGCAGGCGGCACTGGTGGCTGCCCAGCCACCGGGAGGAGATGTCTGTGGTGAGACGCCCGCTCGCGGAGACGCCGCTGTGGCGCTGCCTGCTTAGAGCGCTGGTGGCTGGTCAGGGCGCCCGTAGAGTACGTGTGCTCCGAGGAGGCCTTAAGATGGTGCAGACAGTGGTCTAGGCTGGGATGCTTTTTATGCTGATGTGAATTCCTATTAAGAAAATAAAAGCTGTGTATGAACTACTATTTAATATCTCGTAGGACCCAATCAATGAACAAAATTTTGATGCATACGTGACTACTTTGACGGACATGTATACAAATCAAGATCGTTATCAGAGCCCAGAAAATAAAGCCCTCCTGGAAAATATAAAGCAGGCTGTGAGAGGAATTCAGGTCTGACCAGCTGCTCAGTGACGTAGTGGCGGAACCTGCTAGAAAGGACGCCTGTCGCCCTGCTGCTGCCCCGCCCGAGCGCATCCGTGCGCATGTCTGTCCGAGTGTCCCGCCCAGAGACTCCATGGCCTCACGTCCCGCTCTCACAGTAGCACCTGCACATAGTGTGGACACATTCACGTTGCGTACGTTTCCCATGAGCCGACATAGTGTGGTTCTCCATGTCATGTTCATAGCTGCTAATGTATGCACATGGGGGGGATATATATATTTCTGAAGAGGTAAGCTGATCACAATAGAGTGTACATTCTTTTTAATGCTTAGCGGTTAAATGTTTTAGTATTTGAACTGAAATGGACAAAAAGAAACGGCTTTGAATGACCGTGAGGTGGTGCAGCCACGTTTCAGACATCGTCATTTCACCTCGTGTTGGAGGATTTTATGGAATTTAAGAAGTACATTTTGTGTGCATATTGTTTCATAGCAAGAATTGTTTGCAAAAAATGCTTTATTTTTGAACAATGCTTGGAAATATTATGTGATTTTTTTGTTTGTTTGTTTTAGGAGGATGGTGTATGGTGGGGGCAATAAGTGAGGTTTTTTGCATTCCAAGGAAATGGCATATGGATTAACTGTAAGAAATGAGATAAGTAATTTGTTGTAAGAACATCAAGCCATGGACACTTGGCAGAAGATGCAAAGCAGCTTACACAGCACTTTCTGGTTTGCTCCTGAGTGGCAGGTGAGACCTGGGAACGGAGCTCCCGCAGGGGCCGCAGGAGGCAGCGAAGACCTCTCCCCGCAGTGAACTCCGAGCCGCCCTCCCGCGTCCCTGCCTCCACTGGCTCTGCTGCAGGGAGGCCTGGCCAAGGAGCCCGCGCTCAGAGCTCAGAGATCATTTACGAGTATTTATTTCCCCTCCACCTTCAACACTGTCGTTGCTGTTGTTATTATTTTGCGTTTGGGGCATAAAGGGAAAGGACTTGTGAGTCTTCAAGTTACAGGACTGAATTTTCTGCTGGATTCGGTGGCAAAGCTGCTCAGAACCCTGTCTCCCGCCGACTCAGGCTTTGGTGAGCCTTTGGCCACGTTGAGGGCTCTCCCCACGCCCTGGAGCCCTGCCTGTGTGGAGGCAGCGGCCCGGAGGGCTGCCAGCTGCTGCCCAAGCCGCCCGAGGACGGTGCCATCCAAGCAGGTGTCCTGGATGTACTTCAGCACTTTCTCTGCCGCGAGCTCCCCCGACGTGTCTGCCCCTGGAGACCACCGTGTCCCCGACGACCCGAGACTGACCGGTCTGCCCCGAGGACTCCCGGCCGTATCATGGCATCACTTCCTTCCATGTCTAGATGTCACACAGGAAGTACAAAAGTACTTTACATTTTTGTTATGAAAAAAAGATGGGTTTTGTAAAAATTAAAAAAATATTTTTAGCAGAACAGGACTTACAGGGTCATTGTCCCCACAACGTGCCAGTCGACTATTTGCACTCACCTGTCCTCTGTGTCCGAGCAGAGGTGTGCAATCCGCGTCCCAGCCTCGCGACGCC